ACGAAACTTTTTATTAAAGAGAAAATAGAAATATAAATTCCGCGCCATCTGCCGCTTTAGCAACAAACTAAAACATGTTCCTTTTTAGCCTTAAGGTTTGGGAGATACCGTACCAGAGGCGCACGGTAGTGAGACTTCTGAGTAGCGACGATAACTGACAGATGGTTCATCTGTTCGACGCCTAAAACAAATCAGTCGAATAATTAAACTGACTGATAAACAGCTCAATAAGATGGTTGCAATAGCGAGCCAAGGGAAAGGTCCAAAATAGGTCTGGTGTTCGAGCTTGGATGGGCTTTTGGCTTCAATCGGTGGTTTACACGCATGATAGTACGATAGGGTGCGAGTGATGTCGACTGTCTGTAGGATAGAACTTTTCTTGACGGCCATAAAGTTTTAGAAACAACCACACATGAGGTACATTAATATGGGAAGTTTCTTCGTGGAAATACTTCCTTCTAGGGAACCATCACTATTTCTCCATTTGATTGCCCAGGATTCTAAAGATTTTGGGACTTTTCCATCCATAATGGAGACATTGACTACCCACAGTGGTTCAGTTACCAAGGTTATAACAGGATACCAGTCAGCATGTGCGGTGTACCATGTCTTCAGTTCGACTTCAACTAACTTTTCACTAGTGACTTTAACAAAAAGTGTTGATTTGTTTACACGATTACCCTTCTGCTCTAACAAAAGATCAAATATGAGAAACAAGATTAGAATTTAAACTATATTAATTAAAAATTACTTATACGAAAAGCAAGTCCGAATTTCATTCGCTGAGTCAATTTATATTTTAGTTACCATACGTTCTTGGATCACGCTTGGGGTGAGTTTGAAATGGGGGGATATAAATTCTGAACCGGTTGACAATCATTAACTGTGGGAGTTTCAAATGTTTGTACAGCTAACATTTCAGTACTTTCAGTATTGGAGCGCGTTAGTCGCATTTTTCTGGCAATCTCTTTTCTGTGTTTCAAATGTAAAAACCATAGGGTTAAACTATCCCAACAGCTAGCAAAAATTTTAAATGATCACCCGTGAGTACGATGTATAGCTACAGCATTAATGATAATCTCAATTATCCATTTAAGAATTCTCCAAACTATGTATATTCCCATGAGACCACTGGTTAGGTTTCCTAACCAACTAAACCATCCCCACATCTGCTCCAAAGTAGAGTCCGCTAAATTCTTGAGCTCTTCGGTGCTAAACATAGACAACATAGATACTCCTTGAGAATCCACAGGCTGGCCTAACGCTTTTCTGGCCTAGATATTAGTAATGGCCTGGCTTTCATAGCCGAATAACATTGCTCTTTGGGCTTCTCGAATTTCTTTAGACGTGTAAAATCCACCAGTGCCCAAACTTTGTATAGAATTGAAAGGCAAGTGGTCTTCCGTGTCCACTGTTAAGGTAATGGGTGTTGCCAATCCGTTTCCTGGATGAGGGCTAAAACTTATCCATCGGTTGTTGAGGTGAAAAATTGGTGGTATTAAGGTGTTGCATTCGATCTCTTCGGTGTAATGCTGTAGAATCCGGGTAATGGGTGACATGAAGTAACTTTCGTTATTCACTTTCACTGGTAACAACCCTTTTCTCTTCGGAGCTCAACAACTCTTGGTACACATTGTAGGATATAACGCCTCTCCGGCTACCTTCCCAATTGAGAGAAAACCATTTGTTGTTGGAATAAGGAGAATGGTTATAAATCAAAGGTTTTGTTAGATTAATTTAGAGAACTTCTTCTTCTTGAATCTTCTTGGTATGGAATTAAGATCAAAAATGATGTGGATGACATTTTTGTCATTTTTGATCTTAATAAATGTACCATGGGCATTTTCTCGAAATTTTAAACAACCGCTTTGAAAGTATAAATTTCACTGGTGAAAAAGAAGTAGAAGGAAAGTTACCATTTTTAGATACTTTAGTAATTAGAACTAATAACGTATTAGAATTTGATATTTATAGGAAAAACACTAGTACACTTCGCTACATCACCACTGACTCACATCATTGTCCTCAACATAAAATGGCGAGTTTTAACTTTTTCATTTACAGGCTTGTTAATTTTCCCTTGACTCATGCAAGGTTTGAAAAAGAGCTCAAAATTATTAAAGATGCAGCGAAGTGTAATGGTTTTGATGTTAACATAATTAACAAAATGGTTCAAAAAGTTAAATATAGAAAAATGGTCARTAATTCCACGACTTTTACAAACACTCCGAAGAAAACACAATTTATAACTTTACCTTATACTCCCTCAATCACAAGAGGTGTGAGTAAAATTTTCAAAAATCTTGACTTCCAAGTTGTTTACAACTCTGGYAGAAGTCTCAAAAGTTTTCTTGGTAATCCTAAAGATAAAGTAGGACCATTAGAAAAATCGGGGATTTATGAAATTAATTGTAAAGATTGTGAACAAAAATATATTGGGCAAACACGTCGTTCAGTTAACACTAGGTTTAAAGAACACAGCTCATTTAAGATATAACAGATTTGAAAAATCAAGTGTGGCCCAACATATTTTTGAAAAAGACCATAAAATAGATGAAACTAATGTAAAAATCATTAGAGTAGTCAATAATTGTAAATTTCTTGACGCTTTCGAGAGTCTTGAAATATTTAAAAATAGAGATAAGCTTATGAATTCAGACAACGGCCCCATTCCCTTTTCTCCCCTCTGCTCGTTAGTTGGGGGTAGAGAAAGTGAAAGTCGGAAAAATTAGTATATAAGGCATTACCATTGTTAAATTAGTTAGTTTTATTCTCACCTGAGGATGACCACTTTGTGGTTGAAACGCGTTGTGTTTTAAATAAAAGTTTGGTGTGACGGGCTATTCGAGTTTTTGTTCATCGTTTCCATACCAAGAAGATCCAAGAAGAAGAAGTTCAATTTAGAGAAAAGAAAAAGAACATGAAGACGTAAGTCTTCGGATGTGGCGAACAGCACATGCTGATTTGTACCCAGTTGTTACGGAAACGGATCATTTGCCTGGATGGAAGAATAGAGCCATTACCCATATTACCACACAAGAGATCCACCCTTGAGGGACAGAAGACAACTTAGAAGTTGAATGTAGCAGCCGTATTGGACTAATGTTATGGTTTATCTTAGCCATTCCATTTTGCATAGCACTTGTCGTTGTACTTATCCGAATGCTATGTTATAGACTCGAAAGGAAAGAACTGTCTGTTACCCATGACAGCTTGTGAAGACTTGAGCTGTCCACATTCTTGGACTCAACCAGAATACCAACTCCGAGTCCCTTGGTTGAGCCAGTCCATAATGATCCTCAAATACCACTACCGACCAGTCTTCGCGTCAAATGTTGTTAACTCATGCGGAAGACTCTCACGATCAGTAGACCATATGTCGAATCCAGAATTAATCAAGCTATCCAGAACTCCAGAAGAACCATAATGGACGCAAGGTTACTTGGTTTGTTGTTTAGAACCTTGTCTTTATTCTTGTAAAATACCGAATCCCTGAATTTTGCTCCTTGAACCAATTAGATGAAAATTTTTGATATTAATTATCATAACCAAGAGTTCAAGTAGGAATATCCAGGTGGATAGTTAAATTAGTTTGTAAGTATTTTAGTATTATTTAGAAAAGCCATGGGTTATTAAAACCCATGTTTTTCAGTAAAAGGGGGAGTAGTTGTGACGGGCAAAAAGCCCTTGTTGTTCTTTTTAATGCTGAAAAGACTTAAAGTCTTTATATATTGTAAAGAGACCAAACCTATGAAGTTAAAATGCGGTCAAGAACACGGAATCTTCCTCGGAATTTGCTACGTAAATAAAATTAGAGCTGGCGAGTTTTTCAGTTTTTGCATTGTCCTGATCAATATAACATTGAATGCGAAATGTAGCCTTTTTGGAGAGCACACTTCAAACGACTATCGTGATAACTTTCTAAACAGCCAGTATGACAATAATTTTTTATGCGGCCTAAATCATTTAAAAATTGTTTATCCAAAACCACCGAATACACAATAAAATTTTGTTAACGAAGTAAATCATTGTGTTCTTCCAAATCATTCATCTATTAAGGGAAATTATCGAAAAAAAAGTCGTAGGCCAACGTATCGCAATCGCGATCGTGCAGTAAAGGATGGAGTTGGGCTGGAGTGACGTCACAGCAGTTTCACAAAATATTTAATTTTGAAGTTCCCAGCCTAAATATTTCGAATTTAATTTCACAAATGTTCATGTTTTAATACATTGCGTTTATTAGATAAATAAAAAAAAGTGCATTTTGAAAGTTGATCTCTCCTTTAAGTGCGTTTTATGACTCACAAAATATTCGCACTGGAATGCGGGATGTCCTTGCCCTGTGCACTGGAAAGAACCCATCGCAAGAGATGACGTGGTATTCGCCCTATAAAAAGGAAGCGTGAATATCGCTAATAGTTCAGTCAAAATCAGTCGTCAAATTGAATCAGACTAGTTGTGTCGATTGAAGAAGAAACTGCCAAAACACCCTGTGCCACTATCTGAGGCCAGAAGCTATCAGCTCGAAGCAGTCCGATTGTTCAATTACATAGTCATGAGCTGTAAGTTTTGATTTATTTTTCCTTTTGACTGTTCACGTTGCTCCGACTTACCATGCCGTACCATATTACGATTTTGTTGTGGATTTTCGTAGGTTCACGGGTCAAAGCAATGACGACAGAGATTTGGCCTCTGGTTACAATTCACAAACTCCAAATTAGGTTTAAGATTATAGTTTCATTTATCGTTTATTTCTTATTAGCGTGTTAAGTTGACAAATGAAAACCAGAGATGTCATACGATGCATAGATAAGCCTGATACAGCAATTACAATGTTTTTCCAAATCGAATAATAAATACATTTTGATTGTTTTTCCTAATTCCGTTAAAGTCTATAGTTAGTGTAAAATTACTAATTTAATCAGATCTTTGTATTTATAAGCGTGCTAATCACCATTGTTATTTTTACCAATTTCCGTTAAAATGTAATAATGTCTCTTAAAACATTAATGCCTTTGTTGATCACTATGTGTTTAGAAAATAGTTTCAGTTTTGTATTATGACTTTGATAAGGCCTGAAATAGGAATACTCCCTATTTTTAACATTTATTTACCTTTTGTATTATTCACTTACATTATGTTAACCATTTTATTTTATTCCAAATACATTAGTTTAAGAATTAAATGCATTTTTAATTGACTGCACCTTACTCTCCTGAAACTGATTGATCTCACGGGTTGGCTGAGGTTCTACGTTCAAAGAAATTTATTCGCTCTGTTTGGGGGACCACCGCTCGACCAAAATAAAGGTAGGTTCAAAAAATTGTAAAAACTCAATAACCCGCCACACATCGTTCCTATAATACCTGTGTTGGTAGTATGCGCTGACAAATTTTCAACTTTTATAAAATGACGAAGGTCTGGCGACCGCAGGCTCTTGCTCTACTATTCTAAGTAATATAAAACCACAGTTTTAACAAAAAATAGTCTATCCATATAATTATTATATTCCATACCTACTTTGATTTTTTTCACGTAAAATTAATTGTAATTAAATTAAGCGCTATGTATAAATTCTAGATATAAACTAAGTATAAGGTTCAATTTATTTCAAATTTGTATTTTAGAAAATCAAGTTTGTGGTTGCCTATACAGGGTGATTAAAAAATGTCTAACCCACTGTGCAGCGGTTTGCGCAAGTCTAACCTGCCAACTGAGTTGAAAGTTCCCATAACAAAAAATAGTTTGAGTTTTTTTTCACTAGATTACGGATACCTATGTAATTCTCCGTACTCTAGATATACCTCTTCTAAGGTTAGATTTTGAGTTAAGTTTTTGGCCCTTGAGATAATGTTTTCTTGAATTTAATTAGCGGAAACGACAGATCTTGCAACATTGAACAGATTACCTGTTGACAAAATCACCAATTTGTGTCTTATGGTGTACAAAATATTTAACAAACTAGCAAATTCAACAATTAATTAAACCCGACAACATCGGAAACAAAAGAGCTAAAATGTTTACATGATACTCGTAATATGGAAATTGACAGTTTTGTTCAAGAGTTTTGGCTTCTGATTTTCTCCTAATTATTTTTCCAGCTGAAATAGATGAACAAAAACACGATTAGCCCGTCACACCAAACTTTTATTTTAATAGCACAACGCGTTTCGACCACAAAGTGGTCATCCTCAGGTGAGAATAAAACTAACTAATTTAACAATGGTAATGCCTTATATACTAATTTTCCGACTTTCACTTTCCCTACCCTCAACTAACGAGTAGAGGGGAGAAAAGGGAATGGGGCCGTTGTCTGAATTCATGAGATTATCTCTATTTTTAAATATTTCAAGACTCTCGAAAGCGTCAAGAAATTTACAATTATTGACTACTCTAATGATTTTTACATTAGTTTCATCAGATGAAACTTCTAAATTTCTTGACGCTTTCGAGAGTCTTGAAATATTTAAAAATAGAGATAATCTCATGAATTCAGACAACGGCCCCATTCCCTTTTCTCCCCTCTACTCGTTAGTTGAGGGTAGGGAAAGTGAAAGTCGGAAAATTAGTATATAAGGCATTACCATTGTTAAATTAGTTAGTTTTATTCTCACCTGAGGATGACCACTTTGTGGTCGAAACGCGTTGTGCTATTAAAATAAAAGTTTGGTGTGACGGGCTAATCGTGTTTTTGTTCATCGTTTCCATACCAAGAAGATCCAAGAAGAAGAAGAAGCTGAAATAGATTCAAAGTACAAAATCTAAAATCCCATAACTTTAGAAGTTTTTTAACATTATTTCTATGTTTGTTAACTTGTTATTTTTCTCTGGGGCGCAAATTCTGAAACATCTGTACATAATTTTTTAGTATTATTACAGGTTCCAAGCTTGAATAATTTGAGAATTGAAGAATAAAACACAAAAATTTCCAGATAACAATTTTATTCGACTATAAAAGTAAATGATACATGGATTTAGCGTCCATCAAATATTTCAAATTAAATGTGGGGTATAAAAAAATTAAATGAAATAAAAATTTAATCGGCATCTGTAGCCTTAAGTAAATGAAATAAAAATTTAATCGGCATCTGTGGCCTTAAGTAAATTAAATAAAAATTTAATCGGCATCTGTGGCCTTAAGTAAATTAAATAAAAATTTAATCGGCATCTGTGGCCTTATAATGATCGGTATCAACACTGGTATACACGTGTCCCTCATCCAGTAAGAAATCCAAAGCAATCCTAGAACACACATAAAAACAGAATCCAACCCAACAATAAATACCCACCCAGCCTCCCTCGCTTGTGGTCCAAAATGTTGCAAAATTTCGCTCCTGCTCAATTCACTTTTAGTTTTGATAGGTTTCAACAAGTTAATAATTCTGACTTGCATTGGCATAAGTCCCTCTGAATTATCTGTAGTTGTTGAAGTAGCCGCCATGGATACATCACTGTGGGGAAGTCGACCTTCTGCCAGTCTTTCGGCGTCTAATTTCGTTTGAACGATTTCCAAAAGATGATTTGTTATGAGGTTTAAATCATCAATTGGTAGCATCTTCAAAATCATGAGAATCTTTTCATTATCTTGGTTGCGGATTGAACCAAAAACGCGAACATAACAATTCTCTTTGACAGGGAGAAGAGCCGGTGTTACGGTTTCCTGCAAGGCGAAGAATAAGAAAAAGAAATAGAAACAATTGCAGTTACATTATCGACCTCTAACCACATAATAGCCTTAATCGAGGCACTGTTGTCCTCAATGATGCAGGTGGCTTTGGTGGTCTGGACCCCAAAGTTTCTTAAAACGCCCACAACACTAGCCTGAAATGTTTTATTTAAATGACAACAAATTGTAGCCCAGTCAAATTAGACAAATCTGTGGAAAAAAATCCTACAGAGTTGGATTTTTTTTAAACGCCTTCTTTACACTTGGGTAGACATATATCAAAAGTCCCAGAAGGTGGGGGGCGAGCTCGAGAAGGGGGAGGGGGTTAAAGGTCTTTTTTTGTTTTTTTGCTTATATCTCGGAAATTATCACTCCTATAGGTTTTTATCTTCTTATCAAAATTAAAGCTTACAAATGTAAGACAAGGTTTTCCACCGTAATTTTTATTTTTTTTCTCACTTTTCTGTAGTGAATTGCAATATTATTCCTGATACTTACATCGTTTTCTAATCTCGAGTAATTAACTAAATACGTTTTTATAAACAGACCTCGACACCTTGGCACCAGCTGTTTTGACAGGATTATTCCAAAGTGGTTGAGTACTTTCAAAATTATTAAAGTAGTGAGTTGTTAAAATTGCCGCCGGCCTAAAATAATTTTCCTGACAATTGTTAATTGCCATTGTAATGGATTTTGCACGTGTTCAAATCGGCTTTAACTTTGTGTCTCAAAAATGGCCCTACACAAAATTTCCTACAAAAATGGTCCTTCGCACCGTAAGCGAGTTATAGGGCAGACAAAAAACATCATTTAAAAAAATTTACTTTATCTGCATTTAAAAGAGAATTAGTCTTGTAATTTAAAAAAAACTGACAGTAAAATGAATTTACTGGGTCCAATACTTCATTAAAGGAAGGGGGAGTCACGAGGGTCTATAAATACAAACTCATCGTTTATGTAATTTATGCAGAAATTTCTGTAGAAGTCTATTTCTCCATCAAAATTTCCTACAAAAATGGTCCTATTCATTTTTGTCGTAGGACTAACCGTAGGCTTCTCAAGTTTGGAGACTACATAAAATTGCATTAAAAATCCTTTGAACATTTCATTAGTATGTGGTAAGTATTTATATGTGTAGAGCATTCCTCAACTAAGCTGGTCTGCTTGAAAGATGACTCAGGTGTAAACATTTAAACGGAGATATAAATAAAAATTTTGGATGAAAGAGAGAATCAATCTGTAGGGAGGTTAAATGGGGTGTAAATGTTTAAGTAAAGATATAAACATAAAATTCTTCAGAGGTGTAAAGGGGCACTAAAATCAGATTTTTCGAAAATTAGTTTTTAAGGGAATAAAACAGTGTACACATTTAAAGGGATATAAAAACATTAACTTTAGAAAATATGATCCTTAGAGAGTGTAGAAGTGCACTTTTTAATATTTATCCATAAACATAGCCCATGCGAAGAACGAGACTACTATAACTGAATTCTATACATAACATAGGTAATTATCTAGCTTTATAGAGTACCTAAGCCTATGGAATGGTTTTGTGAACGGGCTTTTTCCCATTTTATAACAGAAATACACGCGGACAAAGTCGCAGGCAAATGCTAGTTCAGCCTATAAGGATGACTCGGAAGACTTGATAGACCCTCGTGACACCTTCTAATAAACTGTTGGATCCAATACATCCAATTTAGCTTTATTCAAATCATCGATATTAAATCATCTATTTATTAATATTGTACTGAACAAGACTGTAATTCGGTTTTCAATGTTTAAGTTGAAGACGAAGATGCAGCATATGAGGACGACTCGGAAGACTTTATAGACGCTCTAATCAAGTGTTGCACCCAATAAATTCAATTTGCTTTCAGTTTTTTCAAATCACAAGATTAATTCTGTTTTAAATGCGGATAAAGCACATTTTTTAAATGATGTTTCTTGTCAGCCCTATAACTCGCGTACAGTTAGTCTTACAACAAAAATGCAAGGGACCATTTTTATAGGAACTTTTGTTGGCTTTAATTTTGATAAGCAGGCAAAAACCATTAGGAGTAATAGTTTCCGAGATATAAGCAAAAAAACAAAAAAAGACACCTTTAGCCCCCTCCCTCTCCTCGAGCTCGCCCACCACCTTCGGTGACTTTTGATATATGTCTATCCAAGAATAAAGAAAGCGTTAAAAAAAATCCACCTCTCTAGGACTTTTTTCCACCGATCGCCCTATTTTTGTCTAATTTTACTGGGCTATTGATTGTTTTAAAAATCATAAATAATGTCTGTTTCCACATTTTACAACAAAAAAAATATGAGAAAATAAACTTACGATTTGGACCGGCATTCCACATAAATTGAATTCCTCATCAGTGCAATCAAGTATGTGAGATATGAATACAGGAACAACATTTTGAACGCGTCTGACTTGCTGTAATCACACAAGTGAATATAAAAAAATTACAAAAAAGTGTCCCACAAACCTCTTTTTTCTTTGCAGTAGACCCTTTATTATCATCATTTACGAAACCTCCTTTGTTACTGATATCTGTAATAATTTAATGGTCTAATTTATGCTACATACAAATAAGATAATTACCAAATTGATTCAGACCAAGCATATTAATGTTTTTGTGAAAATGCACTCTTAACTTCCAAATTGTAAATACTCAGATGCAGGAGCACGCGCAGTCGGAATATGGATGGATGCGGGCGGTTTTCGAGGGAGTTAAATTAATGAGGGTGAATAAATGATTTATAAAAAAAAGTTTTTTTTTCTCAACTGCGATCAGCGTCGCCAGAGACCAACGTTGAAACGTCAAATTGTTTTCATTTACGATTGTGATCATTTTCAAAAAAATATCAATATCATAATTGAACGTTTCTCGCACTGCTGAGGCCCTTTGCTCATTAGCAGTTATGTAATGGGGGGCAAATTTCAATCATTACGGATCGAGTATCAGGCAGTGATGCCAGATTAGGGATTTTTTCCCAAGTTCTAGGGATTTTTCTAACAAAAAGGGAAAAAGGGATTTTTTTCAATTTTTCTTAATAATCTAGGGATTTTTTACATTTTTTTTCAGTGAAAATCTCAATTTTTTTCACACTGCTGGCACAGTTTCAAAAATTACAAAAAATTTTAATATGAATATTGTAACTTCGCCAAGTTAGCGCATTTGTATATGAGTTATATAGCACATAGTAACGCGGAAACCAAGAATGTATTTTCTGTAGTTGTGTAAAGACAAAAAAAAGAACAAGATAATTAAAAGCCGTTTGCGTTTTTCGTATTGCCAAGTTTACTAATTATTGCAGTTCATTTAAATATTTAAAATTAATGAAATCCCATAATTTATAAGTATAAATAAAAATTAAGTAGGTATCTAAATATACACGTTTATTTGAATTTGTTTTAATTGATTTGTATTTTATTTGTTTATTTCTTTAGTAAAATTTATATTAATTTATTGTTATATTTTTTTTGATTTTTTGTGTTTGGAGTTAACACATTTTTATGTTGTATTTGTATTATGTTACCTCAATAAAATAGGCCTATGAAATAGTATCTTTAATTTTTTAAGTAGTTTAGGGAATTCTAGGGAATTTAGAAGCTACAATCTAGGGACAAGCGCTTAATCTCATCTGGCATCACTGGTATCAGGTGAGTGTCAACATAACCTCAAACCACCACTTGAAACCCACTTTTTAGGATGTTTTACGTAAATCTTTCAAGTCCAAGACCACCGATTTGATTGAAATCAAAGCAAAGTATTTGTCTAGATCCGTCATCGACCTTGAAACCCCTCTTCACCAAAATGACGGAATTTTCCATTTTTCTTCCATTAGTCAAATTTTTTTCTTTAGTTTCAGGAACGTGAAAGGATATACAGGGTGCGCCAGAACTCGCGCCCCAGAGAAAAATGCCATATAAGGTAAGATACCAGGAACATGGAAAAAATGTTAAAAAAATTTTATCTATAAAAATTTCGAAATTATGAGGGTTTAAAGTTTGCACTTTGACTCTATTTATTTCTGTTGGAAAAACAATTTTCCAAGTTTTTTTGCTATAGGTTATTAAAAGAGGAAACAAGGTAACTGTATCCTAAATTGTAACTCTGTTCAATGTTATTTGTGGCTTTTATTGGCAAAATTTTTGTCCCTTTACTAAATAATTGTAAAAAAACATATACAAGATCATCAGTATCCTTAAGTAGAAATAAAAAAATGTCAAATGTCAAAATTTTTTGACAGATAGAATTTTTTAAACATTTTTTTCATGTTCCTGGTATCTTACCTTACTTGAAAATTTTCTCTGGGGCGCGAGTTCTGGCGCACCTGTACTATAACTGTTTGTTTCCAGACGTAAAATCAGTTTATTTGCTTATTTTTCTCTTTTCATTACAAATTGGATTTTTCACTTCCCTTCCCTTCCCTTCCACTGTTCAATTTTTCTTATTAAGAAAATTTTTTTCTTCAAAAAATTTTCTATATAGGTTTTACTTTTTCGAACTAGAAACCCTCGATATCTCGGCCATTTGAAGTCGTATCGCGATGAAACTTGTACCAATCGATTCTACGTCGAAAAAAAAAAGTGAAATTTTTGTCTGTCTGTCTGTCCGGATTTCTGCGAACCGCGATAACTCTTCACAGAATCATTCTTTTTCGATGAAATTTGGTCAGTAGGTGCCCCTCGGCCACCTTAAGAACCCTATTTTGGAGCCGATTGGCTGACAGAAGCGCCTGTTATCACTAAAATTCGGGAAAAGTGAGGTTATGACCGCATATTACACACCTCTCATCGCATGGGAGACCAGTTAGAATTAGAGTGGGCGCCGTGGCGCGTTAATCTTGAATCGAGTGAGCCCCATCGGGTGCGCAGCCCTCGTGAGCCCCACTTGGGGGCGCAGCTCTCGTAAGCCCCACTCAGGGACGCAGCCTCCGTAAACCCTAATCGGGCGCGTTGCCCTAGTGAGCCCCATCGGGGGCGCAGCCCCCTTAAGCCCCATCGGAAACGCAGCCCCCGTGAGCTCAACTCAACTGAAAAATTAGATTAGATTGACCATTAAAGAAAAAAAATTTCTTTTCGCCTTTTCTCATCGAATAAATGCAAATTAACGATCAGTTCACATCAATTTCCGTAAAGAGCTAAGCAATTTAATAAGCAACAAACAATAATTACAAAACGGGAACACACAGGGCCGCAATATAAAATGGCCCGAAGGGTCAATACAGCGTCGCAGACCAAGGTAAGCGAAGCGCAACCTTGTTTATTTTCAACGTGAAAAGTTTTCTTAATAGTCGCAGGATTGGAAACTGTTTTTTGCGTAATTTTCCCGGTTTGACTAGACTTTACACTGGGTTCTCCATCATCCAACATTTGAACTAAGGTTTTGAGTGGTGTTGTTAATGGAACAAAGCTTTTGTTTGGATTTTTTGAGGTAAGTTTTCCCTCCAATTCCCATCACAATAAAGGATTTGCCATAAGCAGTCGGTATTTACTTGCCAACGTTTGCCGGATTTGAGGGGGCGATTTGTTTTTCCTCGTTACCCTCAACCTACTTGTGTTATGACTTTTCTTCTGGTCCATCTTTAAAAAACAATAAAAAACACACTTTTAAACAATACAATTAGAAAAAAGTCGTTTAAAGAATTGACAAATGTAAAACTTTCGCTGTTCTTGAAACGTCAGTGAATAGGGCCTATTCTGTAAATAAAAAATAAAGGTACCTTTAATTCTTTTGTGTTGTCTTTCCGTGAATGAAACTGTATGAAATCCATATTGCACATATCAACATAAGGAGTTACAGTCAGTGATTGAATCGCTCTAAAGTATTGTGGTAAATGCAATGTCTTGCGAACAGTCAACAAAAATTAACATAAGCAGTGCAAAAATCAATTATCATTCAACACTAATGTTGAAATCTTCTTAAAGTAGGTACTATATGAAGTGTTGTCAGACCATTTTTAATAAAAAATTCTAAAATCAGTAATAATAATAGAAAAGGTTATTGATGCTTTAAAAAACTCTTGCTTTTTTACATGAGTTAAGAAAATGGAAACAGATATAATATTTTCACAATAATACAAATCACAACATTGAAATCACAAATTTGGAATTCATTAATGTTGTAAATACAATTTTGAATTATTTTCACTATTATTTTCAGCTTGGGTTTTATTTCTTGTTGGTTACTAAAAATGATGATACAAATCTATACAATAGTTGTTTCTGTGTCAAAAATTGTGACATTTTGTGGATTCTAAATTCCTTTTTTTGTATACGATCCCGAAAACAGCTGTTTTAGGGACTCATTTGATTCTCTAAAATGAGTCTTTTCCGGACTTAATAAAATAGTACGCAAAACGGTTATTTTAGATACTCAGTGCGGACTAAAAAATAAAATTGGTTACTATGATAACGAATTTTTTTTAATTAGTAAGAGGTGTGAATTCGTGTTTTGGGAGCTTTAACAAAAAAATCTTGTCTGCACCAAGTACGCAAAAGGTTTAAGATGACTCCTCTCATTAAAGACTCGGCTCCTACGTCGCCTCGTCATTAAATACGATTCGTCCCCTAAAACCCTATTTTGCGTACTTGATACATAAATAGCTATTAATTAAAAACTACTAGAATTTTTACTGTGAAACTGATAGTTAATTGCGGTATTTTGTATTCTTGACGCATTCTCTTCTGAGTAAATGTACAAAAAAATGGAATAAATTTGTAATTATTGAAGATTGAAGTTATTGTGCGCAATAGGAAATCGTGCCCACTTTTCTGTAGCCTTTTCTACATCTTATTTACAAATATTTATGCTGCTTACAGCATACGACGCGCATTATTACCCGCATTTGTAGCGAACTCTACACAATGCACTTAGCTAAAATGTTATTTTTATTTATATCTAATATTGATGATGCACATAATTTTCTTATCAAGTTTGCAGCTAACATATGAAATAATCGACAAAAAATGCTCTTAAACTTTCATATTCCCATCAAAATTTCCTGAGGTGCGCACAATTCACCTACGCTACCCTATATTTTATCATTTTTAAATAGAAATCGAAGTAGAAGTACTAGGTAGAGGAACTAGTTTTAATACACATAGCATTTGCAACAGTTTATTTATGAGTACCAACCGACATACACATTATTTGATTCCACATACTTGTTTAGCCATGTGTAAACTGGTTTATAATACTCTAGAAGTGGTTTTGCGGAGATATGCGGAGTTCCACTAACTATCAAAAGCGCTTCCGGCCAACGAATACTCGCACCTTTTTCCATCATTTCCCTGAAAAAGTAGTGTAAACCAATTAGCTGAATACTACCAGGTGAATAAAAAGTATGGAACGAAGCGTTTTTCTCGTAAACTAACCACTTTACAAAAAAAAATAATTAGTGTAGCGTAAAGTCCAATTAAAATGTGACCATTTATCAAGAATAACATTTTTCGAAATTTCTTTTAGTTTTCGGGTTTTAGAAAAAAAATTTTTTTTTTAAATGGCAACCCACCATGATAATTTTTTTAATTAAAGATTATGATCTAAAAATGACCTTTAATTAAATAAAATTGTTTTTAGCCAGTACTTTTTTTTAAATTAATTGTTAAAGTTGCGTTGCGAGCTCATCACGAAGATTTTCCGAACTTAACCGAAGTGGTTGTTTCATGCTTTTCATCATGGGAGAGCGCTGATTTCTATGCAGGTGCTTTGGGGTGGTTTCGAATGGACTAAAAATAGAAGAAAATGATTTGTTTTTACATTTTTTGATCCATCCGGAACCAGAACTCGAAAACTAAAAAAAATTTCGAAAAATGTTATTCTTGATAAATGGTCACATTTTAATTGGACTTTACGCTACACTAGTTATTTTTTTATAAAGTGGTTAGTTTACGAGAAAAACGCTTCGTTCCATACTTTTTATGCACCTGGTATAAATTTTACGTACATGAACTTTTTCCCCACATCCTTTGATCCGTAAATATCACAATTATGCAACGGCAAGTAAGACTGCTCTGATACATCTTGAATTTTTCCATACAAAGATAATTCACACAAACTTCGAAACAACTGCATTTGGATAATACCACTCAAGAAATATCGTATATACGGGGTGTTGTCAGGAATGTGAAACTTGGCTCCGGCATCAAAGAGTTCAGGATTACGTTTCTCAGGAGGGACAATTCCTCTAAACGTTTTGGTTAAATGCCAGTAATAGTCATTCCATTGATCATAAGTTACGGAACCTTTGAAAATGTCCCAACGATATTTGTCTAGAATGAGCGAAAATGGTATTTCAGGAATTTTTGATAATGCTTGATAGAAAAGAAGAAAAAGTGCTGTACTGTTGTCTAGCAATTGATCGTCAGTGATAATACTGAGACGGTGAAGATGTTGCGGAGTCATTACACCGTGCATTATGGCGTCTCCAATACTCTCGTGGAATGCTGTGGTGGTACCGTCCTAAAAGTTGACGTGATTCAGATAAAAACAGAAGAATTAGATATGCCATATACAGGGTGTTTGGTCCAAGTCGTTCGAGCCGATAACACCTAAACTTACTTGTTTTTTTCAAAAACTAAATTTTCAAATAATACTATTCATTTGTCGTTTTCTTAGTAAATGTATCAAATTTTTTTGGCATATCCAGTGTAGCCGGAAATGCTACTAAATTTAGTTTTTCGAATGGAACATCCATGTTTTTTTGCTCGAAACAATAATAATTGGCATGAAAAATACGGTAAACCACTATTTATTACATTTTACTTTACATAATGTTCCAGAAAATAATTTAAATTTTTGAATTTTATTGCAAATTTTGCAACGTAGGCGGATTTTACTTGTCAAGGTATCCATGCAAAAAGCAATATGCTTGGATACCGTTTAATTGTTAGTTTGACAAAGCCTAATTTGTGAATAAATCTTATTGAGATCTTTAATAATGGATGATATTAATTACGACGAATTGGTAGATAAGCTTGAAGTGTTTTTTAAGTGCAATAAAAATAGAGCGGAAGCTGAAAAACAGTATAGGGAAAAATACTCAAATAGAGTTCATCCATATCGTTGGAAATTTAGTCGAATTGAAAAACAACTGAGACGAGTAGGTTCGCTTCTTAAAACTAAAAAAAAAAACTGTGGTTCTTTGTGAAGAACAAGAAAATAGAAATCTGAATGTTCTGTTATCAGTCGAAGAAAATCCAAGAGTTTCCATAAGAGAACTCGCTCATCAACTGACAAATTAGATTTGTCAAACCAACAATTAAACTGTATCCAAGCATTTTTTTTAATTCACACTTTTCCTTTAAAATTAAAAATCGGGCTACGCGACCAATTTCCTTATGAAATTCTAAGATTTAAGACGTTTCTTGATTGCATTGTGTTACGCAAAATGTAATAGATAGTGGTTTACAGTATTTTTCATGTCAATTATTATTGTTTGGAGAAAAAAAAACCATAGGTGTTCCATTTGAAAAACTAAATTTGGTAGCATTTCCGGCAACACCGAATGTGCTAAAAAAATTTAATACATTTATTAAGAAGGCCAAGAATGAATATTATTACTTAAATATTTACTTTTTGAAAAAATGAAGTAAGTTTAGGTGTTATCAGCCGGGGCGTCTAGAACCGAACACCCTGTATTTCCGTATTTAATTTTCTTCTGTTATACCTGGAAAATTGCGGGTTGATCCTGATAGGCCATATAATATTCAATATGACCCATTTCATGATGTATAACATAGAAATCGTCCATTGAAACTTTACCACACATCAACATCCTAAAATCGAAACATAATCTCTCAACGGCAAAGATTGTTAAATACCTGTAATCATTTCTGCTGAATAAATTTGCAGCTGTTCCGTGACACAATGTTGTATTTTCATTTTCTTCAAAAATAGAATATTTCCAAAATTTTTGGGTCATTTTAGGGAAATTCAAGGATCTGTAAAAATCTTCAGCTTCTAAAACCTATTTTTAATTTAATTTACAAGTGAGATAAATTTCAAAATCACCATTTCTTCAATAGTAAGATTCTTTTTGCGAAGGCTTGTATCCAAATCAATCTTGTTTTGGGTAACTGGAAACATTTCAAGTAAAGACGTCCAATCTTGACCCCACATATTTCCCAACAAGTGTATCGGAATTGGGCCTTTTGGATCAATTTGAGATGGTCCATATTTTTGTAAGAGTTTATGTCTTACGACCGCATGAAGAAGCATGTAAAGAGGCTTCACTTCTTTGTATAAATCAAACACAAACTTTTCTAATTGAGGCGTCTCGAGTTCCTCGCGCCAGACTTCTCCAATGTTGTTATATCCTTAACATACCATAAACGAATGTTTGAATACAATACAAGGTGATTCTTTTAGGGCTTACATTAGAAACATTTTAACTTCTAATGCAGATAAGAATTTGAAATTTTATACACAACACAAATCGACCACTCTAAGTTCAATTAAATTATTTTCAAAATGCCTGAACTTCCGGAACTTCGAGAAATTGGCGCTAACTTTAAAATTTTAAATGGTAACCACTTATTTTTACTGCATTTTTGAATTCTTCTCTTCAAACTGAGTAGAATATACCTAGTTGTTAGTACTTATCTGTCATAGTTTTTAACATACGTCAATTTTTTGGTCAAAATTTGCAGAAGTACATTTAAAACGTCACAGCTTTTGAACCCTTTGCGATAAGAATAACTTTTTTCGCATTCGATAATCAAAGGTTCGATGAGTTTTCTAAAATTTTCAAAATTGTCAACTATCAAATTGCAAAGCTAATATGATTTTTTGAGAATAATAATTAACAAACAGCTATAACTCAGTTTTTTCAAATAAAATGATTTTCTCAACGGCAATCGAAAGTACATCGATTTGTAGAAGGACTTTTATCAACATGTCCTATACCCATCTCTTACAGTTTCTGAAATAATCACAAAAAACGTGTTTTTGTTTTTTATTTTTATAGTTAATCACGTAGGCTTTGGAAAATGGTCAATACGTATTAAAGATTTAGTCTACACAACACCCATTCGGAATTACCAAGAATTGAGGCAAGGAATGAGACGGCATTTAATAATCTTCAACCAAATGAATTAATGGAAGCCACTCAATCAGTTCACCATCGAATTTTGAACTGTTCGAAAATGGTAAAGATATCGAACAATTGTATTAATTATGGCATATCTTTATTGTATTTTTCCAAAACCTACGTAATTAACTATAAAAATAAAAAAACAAAAACATGTTTGTCGTGATCATTTCAAAAATTGTGAGAGATAGGTATAGGACATGTTGATAAAAGTCCTTCTACAAATTGATGTACTTTTGATTGCCGTTGAGAAAATAGTCATTTCATTAAAAAAAAAAAACTGAGTTATAGCTGTTTGTTAATAATCATTTTCAAAAAATCATACTAGCCTTGCGATTTGACAGTTGACAATTTTAAAAATTCTAGAAAACTCTTCGAACCTTTGGTTATCGAATGCAAGAAAAATTATTCACTTATCGCAAAAGATTCAAGGACTGTGATGTTTTAAATGAACCTCTACAAATGAAAATTTTGACCAAAAAATTGACATATGTCAAAAACTATGACAGATAAGTACTAACAACTAGGTACATTACTCAGTTTAAAGAGCAGAATTTAAAAATGTAATAAAAATAAGTAGTTATTCTAAATTTCAAAGTTGGCGACAATTTCTCGTAGTTACGGAAGTTCAGCCATTTTAGAAATAATTTATTTGAACTCAGACTGGTTATTTGGGCTGTGTACAAAATTTCAAATTCCTATCTGCATTAGAAGTTAATAAGTTGCTAATGTAGGCCCTAAAAGAATCACCTTGTATAAAATCAATAGGATAAATTAGAGTAGTCTACTGAGTACTAAGGAGTGATAAAAACCTAAACAAAAATTTCATCAAAAAAATTAGGAAAAAAACATACTGTCATAAAATTGGTATAGCACCCTTAGGTCGCTAAAACGTTTGAGAAATAATGGTTCACGCGTCAGATTAAACCGATTAAAAAGCTCTGTGTCAAGTAGTTTTCGAGATTTCGACATATTCTGAGCATTTCTCGGCATTGAGCTTAAAAAAGTATCTCAATTTTTCAGGTGTCCGGAAAGTTCCGAAGCTCCGGAAGTTTTAGATTTTCTTACTTTCCATTTCCGATTGAGTTTTTTGTAATTTTGTTTAGAATTAAGCAAACTCTGAACTAATTGACTAATAATACAGGGAAACAAACTATAATTTTAAAACAGTTTAATTCAGAGTATTAAAAGGTGCTTTTACCATTATTTTTGGCCGCCTCATTTTGATAATTCACAGCTAATCTGAATTTGTCTTTAAGTCTCGGACCCATCGAATCATGCCAGTTCATCCAAATCCACTTCAGCTGTTGGGGATCCAAATCAGTTCTTTTCATAATCCGTTCCAATTCTGGCTCTCCATACAAACAATCTCCATTTTTGGGAAAATCAGGAGCAGTTTTATTAACCTTAGCAGGAAATCCAGTTAAACAGACTTGATCATTAAACTCTTGCGCCATCTTTCCTAGTACTTCCAAATATTCTCTGCAAGAAACGAACTGTCTTGCGCTTGTTTAAATTACGACTTGAAATAACACTCACAGAGCCATTTCATCGGTGAATTTCGGTCCTCTGCACAAGAGATAAATCTTCCTTCTCTGTTCCGGCGTTATCCATTCGTGTCTAATTGTCGATTCACACACGTTGTTTTTCCACCTGTTTCTCACTTTTCCTAGTTGTCTCGCTTGTCGTGAGGTTTTCTCGTCGGGAAATGTAGACAGCTTCCAGGTCAAATGGGCTGCCAATGAATTGAACTGGGATAAATCAGAATCGACGTTATTCAGCCACTTCTCGATCTTGTACTGGTATTCAACTGAAATAATTTTATTTCGAGCAAAGGCTTTTAATTTAATTTGTAATCTTTGTTTATGTTGCTTGCTTAATTTTTTTTTTGAGGAGGTAAAGTATACAAGACGAATATTAATGTAAAAATGTTGGTGTTTTCGTTTCTACAATTTATTTAATTTTTAAGTTATTTAGCTGTGTAAATAAATAAGAGATCTGAAGTCTTAAATTTTCCTTGCATGAAATAACCGCGTAATCAGATGTATTGCTTGTTAGTTAAGTTTGTTTTATGGAGAAGTTTAGTTTTTTTTCATAAATCTATTTATTTTTCTTTATCTACTCAATTGATAAACAAATCCAGAAAGTTTCATTAAATGCATAATTCAATTTAAACAACTTTGTGATTAGTACAATGTGAGACTTCAATTTTGTGTCTCTGTTCAATTGTCATGGACGCATCCGTTATTTTACTAAAAATAACACTATTAGATAATGATAACAAGTCAAAACCATATTAAAGTATGTCGTTTAAATGTGTGGATAAGATAAACTGCTCCACAAAAGCTAAGGAAGTGTGCAATAATTACAATAATTAATTAAAGTAATAAATTATTAAAAAATAAATTGCTAATTAATTAAAAGTGAAATAAAGGCAGATATCTTTTTACTTTTTTGTTTTTGCTGGATTCCATAATGCTCAGAAGAGAAAAATTTGTTTGTTGTAAAAATAATGCGACTAAAGGGGAACATGTTTTAGTTTGTTGCTAAAGCGGCAGATAGCGCGGAATTTATATTTCTATTTTCTTAACTATTCACATTTTTTATAATTGGAAAAAAGTTTCGGACATAAAATATTATTTGAAAACTCGCCAACGTAACACTTTTTTAATTTTTGTTTTTTTTTTTGAAAAAAATATTAAAAATATTTTTCAAAATTTTTGAAAAAACAAGGTAGAAAAGTGTTTTTATTTTTGAAATTCGATAACGGGAAAGTGATCAAAACGCGAATTTTGTATCGTCTTTTTGATGTTCCGTCGCGCCGCATTTTTTGCCCTACCCTCTTATACCAAATTTGACATGTGACAATGAAAAAAATCTGGAGTGAAGATCACACGATTAGGGCTTCAGCAGGTGATAACAACATTGTTGATGATGATTTTGGGGAACCAATAATTGGTCACAATATTGCGTAAGTAAATTTTTTCTCTTAGAAAAAAGCTAGAAAAAATAAAACGTTACCTACTAGAAACGACCAAGAAGACTATGGAGAAAACTGCAAACAACCCGATTTGAATTCAAGTATTCTCAAAAAAGAAATTAGAGATTTTGTAGCAAGTTTGAATGTAACAGAAGAGAAAAGAGACTTTATCGAAAACGCCACTAGGGAACAAAATGGATCTGACAGTTGGTTTAATGAAAGAAAGTATAGAATCACCGCCTCGAAAATAGGAAAAATAATTAAAAGAAGAAAAACCAGTTCTTGGGCTCCCTTAGTTCGATCGTTTCTATACAGAGTGTCCCAAGTTTTAGGGCCCGCCGCAAAAATAAATATTTCTAATTAATTTAAAAAAAATTGCTAGTGCAAACGAGAGAGGATTATATAGACTTCAATTTGATGCTTTAATATTGTTCAAAATTTAAAAAGCAAATTTGGAAAAAAAATTAATTGGAATCTTTTCCACATGATAAAATTGCTTGATTTTTTCTAATGGTCACTATGAAAATTGGATAATGTAAAAGTTGATAGATTTTGGGTAATTAACATTTTAATATTGAAAAGTGGGAATTCTGGAAATTTATGGCCAAGTTTGGGATGATGTGCTGCTAATGCATTGACAATAGAGTGGAGGCTTCACAATAGAGCTTGGGTACATCATAAATGTCATTACGGAACTTTTTCTTCTCTCAAGAAATTCTGGCCTGATCACTAATTACCGCAAACCCTCTCATAAATTATTCCAAGTTACAGATTTTCAATATTAAAATGTTAATTATTCAAAACCTAACAACTTTATCGTTATTCTATTTTCACAAATACCACAGACAAAATTAAAAGAATTTTATCATGTAGAAAATATTTCAGTTTTCTTTTCCTTCCAGTGTTCTTTTTTTGCAAAAAGTAAAACCATCGAAGAAGCCATAAGAGATAGACCTCGTTTTTGTCTAGACAAAAACAATAAATTGAAAAAACAACACGATTATTATTACCAACTCAACTCAATTACGGGTCACCCATTAAAATAATTGTGATTTTATTTTATGGGCATAACAAAATATTTCTATTGATCACATTTTTCCGGATCCCAAGTTATGAGAAAAAAATTTACCCAAGATAAAATATTTTTACCAAAAGGTAAATACTAGGCTATGCAAGTCAATGAAAATAAGGAAAACAGAAAAAGAATAGAAAAAAAATAGCGTTTTATTGATTTCAAGTTTGTTTACATTGAAAAAAGTTTTGACATTTAATAATAATCTAATAATAATTTTTTCAGTTTTTTGGTCACATTCACTATTTTTTGTTATTGTCACGTGACAGAATGTTAAAAAATATTTATTTTTCCTATATTAATTGAAAGATTAATTTAAAAATTCGTTAAGATAAACACAAAATTCAGATCAAAATTAACAATAAAAAATTATGGCAAGTATGCTCCATGGCATCGTCGTACTAGCCCTTTTTACACTTGCTGAGTGTTTTTTCTTTGTTGCAAGTGTTCTCTTGTGTTAATTACCTCACGATATACCAACTATTAAAAAAAAACAGAAATACAGCTTATTCGAGTCGGGACTCCTTGGAGGACATTTTAAAGAGCTGACATCAGAGATTACAATTACAATTTTTACTGATTAAATTCTAGTTTATGTTTATATTTTTAATATTAATGCTTTAAATGAAAAAAACATGTATTGTCGAAGACATTTCAAATGTGAGTGGAAGAGCAGAAAGACTTCAAAGCGAAACATCATTCTCGAGATAATATCGAAATGTAATTACTTCTGCTGCAGTAGTTAATTATTATTATCAATTTATCAATTATATGGTTTTGTAATTAGCTTCGAAACTCAAACGACATAAACTCATTACCTAATAACTCTTGAAATGAAAGTGGGTAGGAAGAATAGCAATATCAAAAATCCACTTTGAAGTGAACTTCAAGAAAATAAATTTAACGATTTCATCTAGGTGTCTAAATTGATAAAATAAGCAAATTTTACGTAAAATGTGTATTTATCTTAGATATCTAACAGGTACGTGAAAAAAAAACAAAAGTTTACGATTAAATAAATACAAATAATTAAATTAAAAAGTCTTGGTAGTATTATTTCTTATATTTATATGTGGGGATTTTTTTACTAATAATAAATTTGAAAGAATCTTAATTATTTGACTTTGCATTACAATTATTTCCCTTTGAAACTGGTATTTATTGCTTCATTGCCCTTCACACCGATCAATTACCTTTTTCCATATCCCCGGAGGTTTGTTGAAACCTTTGTCCCCATACACCCCACCCACAAAACACAGTAATTAAACACATAACCCACATTTTCATAGAGGAATTGCTCGCAATTTCGTTCGTAACTAAAGAGATTTTCTAATTTTCCTCCTTATACACGTGAACAACGACCATGCGCAGCAAAATCACTCGACATTTTTCCGTAATTTTCCATTAAAATTTTTTAATACGGTTAAAAAAACAGAGAGTGTTGGAACACTTCCTTACTTGGTAACTAAGATTAAGTATTAACTTTGTGAGAAGAAACTGGAAAGAGCTTTCGAGAGCTTAATTGCAGCAAAAGTTACTCGGATTAGTGTTTGATGTTTGCGTTTTGCGTGTTTGGAAAAAGTGGATTCACACTTCAACAAAACGAGGAATCATTTTGATTTCATTCTTTTATTTGTAATGCGACAACTGATTATGCATTATCAAAGTGAGACATCTGTTTGTGCCATTATTCCGTCAAATATTGTTCATATAATGCATTAATCAAGGGAATCAATTTGCCGCCCGAATATATTGTTGAACAAATAATTTCGTTGACATAATGTCAGTTGCATGATTACGATTTTTTTATCTTTGAATTTAGGTGGTGAAGGAATATCAAACAGGATGCAATCAGTAATGCGAGATTTACAGAAAATTGATTTTTGTATTTAAACGAAATTCTAAACGTCTATTGTTCAGCTGGATTAAGTTCCTTACGTTTTACGATTTACCAACCCGAAACTGGTAATAATTAGCTTCAGCATTCAAAAAGATATCGACAGATTGAACGTTTCTAATTACACAGGGCGACAAAAAAGTCATGTCGTGACACTTGACAAATTATATATCATTTTGTTCGTCTCAGTGAGACAAATCAAATGCATTAAAAAAAATTCAAAAAGTCCACACACTTTGAACTAAATAATTTTTTTCTAATTTAAATGAATTTAAAATACTTTAAAAAACCATTACTCAATAACTATTAGGCCGATTTCCTTCAAATAAAGACCATTCTAAAGGGATGGACTTGCCCTTTAGAATGATATGAAATTTGGAATTGAATGTTGGCAAACTTTTCTTCGAAAAGTGTTCGAAGAAGTTCGAAGTAAATCGAAGTAACCTAAGAAAAACCCTAGGAGTATTTTTTTTTTCTTTATTACCATCGTGTAGAGCATCTTTTTATTAGTGAGAATCCAAATTTTTAAAAGAATATACCGAGTAGTTTTCAAGATATGATTTTTTGAAGTTAAGGTTTGCTAATCAAGCATTGCTCCATATAGAAGAAATGCATGTTAATCTTACTTAAAATTGCATTTTTATAAAAGTATTTGTTTTAAGACTCTTCTTTCGCTTAAAAATGGTCAATTGCACCTTCTTTGTTCTAATTAGAATAAACAAAAACTGTTTCTTTACTTAAAACAAATAAAGAGTACCTGGGTACTAATTAAAGCAAATAAAGAGTTTTTTGTTGTAAAAATGACCACTGATCATTGAGCAAAGAGGATCGAGAAGTTTAAGGCACGAGCCTTAAATATAAGGGCAAATCTTTTTCAAATCAAATCACTTCTCATTCAGATTTCGACTTGTTCACTTTGTTCTAGCTTTCTGAACTTTTTTGAAAATGTTTTCAACAAATGCTTTCTCATCACTTTCGAGTGATGATTTAACAAGTCACTTGACTTATTTTGTTGGTACATTCTAGGATTGGCTTCAGTTAGCTTGTAGGTAGTAGTTGTTGTGATAACAGTTGCACACGAAGCAACTGACTTATTGCATTCAACATCAGTAGACAGTGATGAAAAAGCATTTGCTGAAAACATTTTCAAAAAAAAGTTCAGAAAGCTGGAACAAAGTGAACAAGTTGGAATCTGAATGGAAAGTGATTTTAACTTGAAAAAGATTTGTTCTTATATTTAAAGCTACTGCTTTAAACTTCTAGATCCTTTTTGCTCAATGATCAGTGATAATTTTTAAAACAAAAAAACTCTTTATTTGCTTTAATTAGTACGCAAGTACTCTTTGTTTGTTTTAAGTAAAGAAACAGTTTTTGTTTATTCTAATTAGAACAAAGAAGCAAAAGAAGAGTCTTAAAACAAATACTTTTATAAAAATGCAATTTTAAGTAAGATTAACATGCATTTCTCCTATATGGAGCAATACCTGAATAGCAAACCTTAACTTCAAAAAATCATATCTTGAAAACTACTCAGTATATTATTTTAAAAATGTAGATTCTTACTAATAAAAAGATGCTCTACACAATGGTAATGATGAAAAAAAAATAATTGTAGGGTTTTTCTTAGATTATTTCGATTTACTTCGAACTTCTTCGAACACTGTTGGAAGAAAAGTTTGCCAATTCAATTTCAAATTTTAAATCTTTCTAAAGGACAAGGCCATCCCTTTAGAATGGTCTTTATTTGAAGAAAATCGGTCTAATAGTTATTGAGTAATAATTTTTTAAAGATAAAGTATTTTAAATTCATTTAAATTAGAAAAAAATTATTTAGTTCAAAGTGTGGGGACTTTTTGAATTTTTTTTTAGTGCATTTTATTTGTTTTACTGAGACGAACAAAATGATATAAAACTTGTCAAGTTGTCACGACATGACTTTTTTTTAGTCGCCCTGTGATTATTATTACTGAAAAAACGCACAAGTTTTTTTGAAAGAATCCTATCTTTTATCTGGTTTCAGTGGATTAAAAAAATCTTTATGTGTAATAATAATTACTAAATTGATGGGAGCAGACAGTCAAGGGTAAAGTAAAAAACGTGTCCGCCCGAAACCGTATTAACTAAATTAAAGTCTCTAGTGACGTTTCGAGCTTTATTTAACAAACGACACAAAGACGCAAACAATTTTATTAGAAGTTCAAAGCTCTTTGTTTTCATTAGCGGTGATCTTGTTCTGAAGCCCAGTAGAATAGAAAATACGTAACAGTAAAAGTTAATTTCGCTGATCCTGCTGAAGTGCACCTGAGTCGGTGACAAATGATTTTTATAAATCTACGCGGTTTTTATTCGACTTCCCACTCTCTTGATTTAAAAATAAGAAATTGGAAAGTGTAATTAACTTCAAGGCAAGATTTCATTTTATGTTGAATTGGATTAGCGGGGTTAATTTTTAAAGAAAAATTGAGGGAAAATGTTGAACAGATAAAATTAAAAAGACGTACTTGTATTAAGAAAATGAATTAAACTGGGGTTATCAAAGAACTCATTTAAGTTGTTTATAACGGGTGTTTATTTAAATTTGGTTTCATAATTGGCGATAACTATACAGGGCGATTCATCTCAGCTCCTGTTTTCTGTAGCTCAGATATTATTTAAGTGGGAATTTTGATATTTTGTAGACTTTATTTATATTCTAGAGGGCATTTCAGGAAAATATTTTTGATCATACAAGGTGGCCCAAAAATAACAATACAAACTTGTTTTTCTTAATAAAACACCATATGTTTCTTGGCATTTTTGAATGTGGCTTTTAATTTCAATGTTTTTAAGCTATACTTGTATTAGTCGATGTTGATTAAGTTGTTTTTTTTGGCGAAAACATCCTCTTTTTAAAAATTTATTACACAAAAAGTTAAGACACGCAAAAAGTGCACATTTGGAAGAAATATCACTCAATAATCACGTTTATGGTACACTGAATCCATTATTCTTTATTATTACAATAAAACAATTCTAATTTTGATATTTATGTCGGCTTTTACAATTTTTGGACTATTCCCAAATAAGTGATAAGTGGTGGAATTACTATGGTTGCCTTGATATCAACAATGCTCATTTTAATGATAGGCATTGTTGCTACAATTAACATTTAAAATTAAATATCTTTTAATTTATCAATTCTAGACATTAAAAGTTTACTTTTTTATATAGACAATTTATCAGTCTATGATATGCAAAAATAAAAATAGGGTGTTCCATTAAATTTTTTTAAGTTATTTAACTTTTAACAAACTTCGACATTTTTTTAACTTTCCGACTGCAATACATTAAAAAATGTTATAGTCTTAAAATTCGTACTTTCCCCATTACAGTGGTAATTTTTTTTCCAGCTGTCTTCCCTTTTTGTGCAATAAATTTTTAAAAAGAGGATGTTTTCGCCAAAAAAAAACAACTTAATTCAAAAACTAAGCAAAATCGACTAATAGAAGTTTAGCTTAAAAACATTGAAATTAAAAGCTACATTCAATTATGCCAAGAAACATATGGTGTTTCATTTAAAAAAACATAAATTTTTATTGTAACTTATTTTTGGGCCACCATGTTTAATCAAAAATGTTTTCCTGAAATGCCCTCTAGAATAGAAATAAAGTCTAAATTATATAAATTATATAAATATATAAATTATAAAATTCGCATTTAAATAATAACTGAGCTACAGAAGACCGGAGCTGAGATGACTCACCCTGTATACAGGCTGTCCCAGAGCTCCGTATGATAACGAAATGCGGTTTTTTTGGACGATAGACATTCATTTTTTCTATGATCCAAAAATATTTTCGTCATTATAGGTGATTTCTATATGTATAGGGTGGCGCAACAAAGATATATTTTTTCTTAAGGACCATCCGCTATATTATGCGCTTATTTGAAAGACCTTTTAATTCTAAAAAAATCATATTAGGTTATATGGATCTATCATAGAACGTTTATCATTTATGGGCAATTTTATGAAAAAAGTGCCATTTTTGAAAAATTGCAGCGGCTTTGCTCGAAAGAAAAAGTGAATAAAAACAATTGCAACAATTTTTACTAAGTTTGTTCCCAAATTATTATTGTTGAGATTTAATCAATCTGTTGCAATTGCTACAGAGTGTTGACATTCCCAAAATATCAAGTAACTTGATTTTTTTTATTGAAACACCTTGTATGTTATTACTTTATCGGGTAGAGCTTTCAATAAGCTTTCTAAAAAACCTACGGTTAGGATATCTAAACCTAACTTGTTTTATTATACACCTTTTTAAGCCTAGAAAATTTTAAATTATTCTATTTAGCGTTAAAAATCAAGTAGGTTTGCGTTACTTGATAATTTTTAAGTTACGTT